CTGTTTAGGAGAGGAGGTTTAAAAAGGGTTTGCTCGACTGTATTTTTGTCGAAGTTTGTTCTAAAATCTTTGATGTAACTTTCATTAGTATAGTGGATTTTCAGTTTGCCGTGCCCGTGGATGTAGCTCTTTTAGGTTGAACAACGTAAATCTTTGTGTTCTTGTTGTATGTATTTCATGCTTTATTTCTCATACTTTATTTTTCAAATATCAACCCATTGGTAAGACTTTTTGCACACAACAAGTGGTATCAGAGCCCTGGTTTAGAGTTTTCGGTAAGGCGATAAAGGTTTCGAATGCAAAGTTCGAGGTGGAAAAATTTGCTGGCAAACACTATTTTTTCAACATGAATGGTGAAGAAATTTATTTGGCAAAAGATGAAGAATCCATAAAGCTATCAAATGAATGTTGGTAGGGTGAGGAAGAGATTTTGATATCAAGGTGAAGATTGTTGGATTTCGTGCTATCCAAAATCACTCCTATAAGGAAATCTTATATTTTTTTGGGATTGATTAATATTGATCCATATTATGTGGGATTGAGATGTTCCCATATTATGTGGGATTTAGATATTCCCATATTATATAGGATTGAGATTGATATTGATAAGTTTCCTAAAGAAAATAGAAATCCAAAAAGGATTAGGACTCTTGGATATATCTCTTGGTCTTTTGAGATATATGTAAAATCTATAGGAAGTTTCCTATTTAGTATGGATTCCTAACTTTATATATATGAGATAAAAGTGTGGAGAATTTGTGTGCCCTATTTGGGTCACCATATGGGAATGGTGGTTCCTCTAGAGATAGAGGGAAATAGAGCCTCCTGTGCATAAGATGCAATTTCCTCTTAAAAAGAAGAGAGCTTCTTATGAAGAGAAAAATTAATGACGCCTCCTAAAGACTCTTACAGAGTGAGATGTTGGTTTCTTGTAGAGAAGTGGTTTTCATAGAGATTTTAGGTTGTTTTCTCTTTTAATGAGATAAAGTCTCATTTGCTCTCAAAATTGTTCTCTTCCTAGATAGTGGCCTAGTTAGGAATAGAGATGAGAGAATTAGCATGGTGCTGTTTGGGAGAGGAAGTTTGAAAAGGGTTTGCTCGACTGTGTTATTGTCGAGGTTTGTTTCAAAATCTTTGATGTAACTTTCATTAGTATAGTGGATTTTCAGTTTGTCGTGCTCGTGGCCTTTTTGGGTGAACCATGCTTTATTTTTCATACTTTATTTGTAAAAAATCAACCCATTGGGTTTAGACTTTCCACACACAACACCTGCCCCTGCCCCCGGGCCCCTTTTTCTCCCTCCTCTCTCTCTAACATCTTTCCTGAGCAACTATTTTTTACCCCATCTGCGTTTTTCGGCATTCTGCACCGTTGGGATTCCAAAATGCTTCTGTTGAGGGAAGTTATCTTTCTTGGGTGGAGACGGACCATGTAAATCTGTTGGGCAAAGTCATGCTCATGGTGGAGAGAGACCACGGTTCGAAAGAAGCCATGGAGGGAGAGAGAGAGGTACATGTGCCATGGGTCGGCGATGGAAGAAGGGAGGAAAGAGAGAGAGATGTTGTGGAGAGGGTTAGGTGGGTGAATTCATACTACCTGAATTCAAATAAAAAAAAAAAAAAGAGGATTAGGTGGGTGCATGGGAAAGGGGAGACACGTGTTTTAAGCAATTTCTTTGCTCGCCACACGTTTATTTGTGCTTCCTTGCGCTAACCTTACCCTCAAGATCCTTCCTCTCTTGGCCGGGCTTTTAATTTTTGTTTTTTTTTTTGTACTTGTTTTCAAGTGATTTACGTGCTGAACTTAAAATTCCGAGCAAAATATAAACTGCTTTAGCTTAGTACGCAGAAACTTACAAAGTAAAACGTGGGTTTTAAACTCGGGTACCAGTTTTTTTTAAATAATTTTTTAAAAAAAACGT